AGAGAGAGAGAGAGAGAGAGAGAGAGAGAGAGAGAGAGAGAGAGAGAGAGAGAGAGAGAGATGACAACAGAGCAATGGGATTCTCATACGATCATCATAGCAATGCACCATAACATCCTTTCTCGTTTTTCCCTTTTTTCAAACGTCCAGGCAAGTTTTGCCACTGTTCTGGTAATCGGTTTTACAAATTTGAATTTTAAAGTGCATTTAAGTATGCACACAGAATCATCATTTGTGTTCCCTATTTTAGAAAGTGGTGAGAGATAGTCGGAGATCATTTCTACAGTTTAGTGTGCCTGGCCCGTCCAGGATTTACCGCTTAATCATTCAACTCACGAGGCACTTGGCGGCTGATCTCAGCCGCCGACCTTTGCAGATTGGTGGCTGGGACCAATCACCGAAGAAGACCTAGATCCAAAAAAAAAGAAAAACTAGTGCTGCTGGAGGCTGGGGAGGCGACCACTACCCGAAAAAGGCCCATGTTCGTCACCAACCACGGGAAAGGATGTGAAAGTTTTATCATGTACATTTGTCGTACTGTGTACACTTTCAGGCAAAGCTTCATCTCGCAATAACTTGTTCCCGGAAGTCGTTCCTCCCCATGTATAGTCAGTGATGCGAATGCATCAGCAAGGGTTTTGTGCACACAAATGAAACCGCTGTTACCGCTCTGAATTTCCTGGGTTTACCCCTTTTTCGACTCAGAAATATTGAGTAACAACAGTCAGTTCACAGAATCATAATCCTTTCCAAAACGTGACATTCAGTTGCTCAATTGATTGGTGAGAGATTCGAGCCAAACAAAACAACTGCTGTTCACTTCGGAACGGAGGAAGGGGACTGAGTCAGACCTGCCTTACTTCCTCCCACATGTCCTTCGCCGTACGTTGGCCATCATGCCCTGTGATCGTGAATCGAGGACAAATTGATACATCCACATGCTCCGTGTGCTGGGATGCAATCGCAAGACTGATGGGCGGTACTCCCTTAGGTCTGCAAGCAGTGAACATCATTTGTAAGATGGCAAACAACTTCATCAACTGCAAGAAAGGCGATAATGAACGAAGAACGCTAAAGTTGATTGAACATCAATACAATGCCTATGCCTAGGATATGAAATCAAAACCATGTCTGCTAGAAATTACCTGGAACACGAGCTATCCTGCACAAGTCAACGGGCAGACGACAGAGAAGATGGAAGATAGAGCAGGAGGAAGGGAAACGAGTGGGCAAGGACGTGTAGATAGGCCATAGGTGGGTGGGTCTATGGGTGAGTGAGTAAGAACAGGGAAGTTCAGCATCTGCAAGAAAGGTGAGGATGAATGTTGAACACCAAAATTGATTAAACATCAATGTCACGACTATGATTACTGGGACACAAAATTCAGGCCATGGCTGCCAGAGCATTGCATAACAACAACAAGCTATCATGCACGAGCGAAGGGGCAATGGACGGACAAGATGGAAGGAAGAGTCATACAGAAGAGGAAGCGAAGGAACTGGGGAAGGGGGTGAAGGTCGTGGGTAGGTGGGTGGGTAGACACATATGTGAGCAAGTAAGTGAGCACGTGAATGAAAGCCCAAGCAAGCCGCTGAGTGAGGAAGTGAGTGAACAATTGAGTAAGGGAGCAAGCAATAGTGTGTGGGAGATGGAAGGGAGGGAGGTAAGAAGGGAGAGAGGCAGGATGTAATCAAGACAAGCATAGTAAAGCAAGGAAAGGCTGGGAAGAAGGGGAAGAGAGAACAAGGGGAGAGATAGATAAATAGATATGGAATGGAGGGAGGTAAGAAGGGAGAGAGGCAGGATGTAAT